AGTGGAGGCTGCTCCAAGGTGACAAGAGGGAACAGTCCCATGGCCAGAGAGCTGGGAGTCACCTGCCTGGGTGGTGGGGTGGGGCTGGCAGCCAGCTCCTCACCATAAACATTTATGAACTGTATGGCTTTGAGTCATATGAATAAATTACATTTTAAAAACTTAATTTTTTGTACATAGGGCTTTGAAACATACAAACGCATCCATAATGAAAAGCCTCTCCCCATCATCTGCCAAGTACCACGTCCCTTTCCCCAAGGCACTCAGTGCACCTGCTCTTCTTCTGCATTCTTCCCCAGGCGCCTCAGGCTCCTCACAGGAGACACTGCCATGCTTGCCCTCACTCTCTTTCCCTGAGGTGCTGCACAATGCACGCATGCAGCTGCACACACTGCTCTGAACGCCGCTGCTGCTTGCTGTCTTGCAGATTAGTCCACATGGTACACAAAGAACACCCCCATTCCTCTCTGCAGTTAGACAGTATTCTGCGATGGGGGCAGGTCACATTTTACTCAAGTGGTCCCCTACTGATGGGCAATAGATGGTTTCCAACCTTGTTACTGCTGGGTGTCTTCACAACCTTCGCCCATTTTATGTCAATTTGTTAAACCTCTACAAATAGTTCTAAGGTTTTAAGGGCCAGAGCCAAAGCTTTCTTCTGCTTATGCCCTCAGGCTAGACACAGATCCCCTTGGAACAGCAGCACCCATACCAGACCCTTCACAGCCAGACCCCAGAGCCTTCTGGAGCCCACTGCAAACACTGCGGGTGCCTCTTGACCCCAGCTGTGCTTCTGAACCACCACAGAAATCAAGAATGCAGATCTGACTGTACTTAGGCAACATGCATCTCCAAAGATGCAGGCCAAGATTATACTGCTGCCGGCCTGGGTAGGGCTACATGGGTACTTTTCAGTGCTTGGCTTGTTCTTTCCTGCTGGGAGCACTGTCCCTCAGGAAAACCCTTACTCCTCAAGACCCAGCTTTGGCTAGACCTCCAGAAGTCTCCCTTCCATCCTGCTCCACTGCCCTGGGCCCCTGGCATAGGGTGTGGGATGAGCTGCAAAGCCCTGCTGGCCTCTTTGGCCTCATCTCCCATCACCCTTCACCTCTAATTCAGAAAGTGGCCCAACTGTGTTGTTCCCTGGCCCCACACACCTGCCCCTCATCTCTCTTTCAGGCCTTTGTACCCCTCTCCTTCCTTTCCCCTCCCCGCTTCAGGTCTAGCTGAGATGCCACCTCCTCCAGAAAGCAATCTCTGAGTGCTCGATCACAGACCCATGTTCCTTCTTTAGGAACCGCCCTCCTTTAGGAACCCAGAGGACCCTCACTGTTTTTTCAAACAGAAACCATTACATCAATACAACTATTAAAAGGCTATTATATTTATCACTTTCACTAATGACCCAGAGGTCCTACAATATCCCCAACACTGTGCAGGATATGGTGTGAGACACAAGAAATGCAGGAATTGTGGCCCTTGCTCCAGAGTCAATTAATCACAAACATCTGAGTGACTCCCATTTAGAAAGCAGTGGGCTAACTGCAAGGGAAGGGAGAGAATGAAAGGGCAGATCCTTGCCCTTGGAAAGTTACCAAAACATGGGAAATGATTAGGATAATAAGAGGCGACATATATTAATGTGAGAAGTGCCTGAACCCTGTTCTGTTTTAAGTGCCTGTCAGGTCAGCATGAGTCTTGCTCTTCCTTTTACCTCTAGCCCTGGGCCGACCTGGCACTCAGCAGGCGTCTCCAAAGGTCTTTGTTACTATCCCACTGTACTACCAGCACCTACTTACTGTGCTGTTTACATGCTGCCCACATTGTAAGGGAGGAGTGGATTTATTCAGGGCTGTCCTCTCGGCTCTAACAGAACTTGGGGCACCAAGAGCCCTACTAATATCTTTGCCAGGCAATCCTGCAATAAATCACCAAAGCTCAAGGGCCCTGGAGCCAACTTCCTCAGGGCCTGGGACAGCCGAGGTCTCAGGAAGCATTCCTTAAGAGGTCAGTGATGAAGCGCTCCAGCGTTTAGGTTAAACTGGCTTCCAGTCCTGCCCCTGCCGGCAGCTGTGAGCCTGTTTTCCCTTCTATAAAATGGGATGACATGGGAGGCAGATCTTAACGGGGGCGCACACCACCAAGTGCCCAGAAGGTAGCCCTACTTCGTTTTCTCCCATTTACTCCACCCACCGGGTCGGGCTCCGGATCTGAGTCCGCCGAAGGTTCGACCCCGAAACCCCGCTCAGAGCCCTGGGCGTCCCCCCCACCCCTCCAAGTCCCCAGTCTGTCTCTGGCGGTCCCTCTGCCCAATCCTCGGAGGCCCCTCAGCAACCCCACCCGTCCCTCCGGTGGCCCCTCCGCGCCCCCCGCCCGTCCCTCCGGTGGCCCCTCAGTGTCCCCAGCCCATCCCCTCAGCGGTCCCTCACCCTCCCTCGGCTCCATGGCGACGCCGTCAGCGCGCGACTCCCCCCCTGGCGGAGTCCCGTACGAAGTGACGTCACCCGTGCGCGCTTTTCGCGCGCCTGCGCACTGGCCTGGAAGCGGGGGAGGGCGGGGACGCCGTCTCAGAGGCCTGGCGGGAAGGACCCACAGCGCATGCGCGTGTGACTCCGCAGGCAGGGCTGTTGTAGGTCCGGTGGGGGAACAAGCGTGACTCC